ATCGCTGCTCTGGCGAGCCAGAGCCGCACACGGAAACGCCGTTTACCTTCCCGCTAGAAAGCGGTCCCTATTTATCTACTTGCACCCGGGGGTGCTTTCGAACTGCTAGGTTGGCAGGCGCTGGGACCGAGCAACGGGAGTGCACCCCGCCGCGGGGATTCGAACCGCTGACCTTTCGATCGGCAAGCCCTAGGCGCTGAGGCTTTTACCCACAGCGCCACCCGCGTCCCCCTGAAAATGTAAATACTTAACATCAAATAAAATGCCACAATTTAAAATAGAAGTTAGAAAAATCTAAGTCCAATCAAGCAATCCCTAAGAACAATTAAATTATTTAAAACACAATTAAAAACCCAACAGTTATAATCCAACATCAGATCCCGTAATTAACTAAAAATAAAAGGTAAAGGTACCCCTGCCCGTACGGGCCAGTCTTGACAGACTCTAGGGTTGTGCGCTCATCTCACTCTATAGGCCGGGAGCCAGCGCTGTCCGCAAACACTTCTGGGTCTCGTGGCCAGCGTGACAAGCTGCATCTGGCGAGCCAGCGCAGCACATGGAACGCCGTTTACCTTCCCGCTAGTAAGCGGTCCCTATTTATCTACTTGCACCCGGGGGTGCTTTCGAACTGCTAGGTTGGCAGGCGCTGGGACCGAGCAACGGGAGCGCATCCCGCCGCGGGGATTCAAACCGCCGACCTGATGATCAGCAAGTCCTAGGCACTGAGGTTTTACCCACAGCGCCACCCGCGTCCCTAACTAAAAATAATGAGATACTATTTCATGGTATCATAGAATCACAGAATTGTAGAGTTGGAGGGGAACCTGAGGATAATCTAATCCAACCCCCTACAATACAGGAATATGCAGCTGTCCCTGTAATCCCTGATCAAACCTGTAACACTGGCATTATCTGCACCACGCACCAACAGAAATATCAGGGTTTTTTTTAAGTGTTTGCACTTATGTAGCCAAAACATTACCGCAATAGTATCAACAAGCTAGAGTTAGTCCTAAAGTCTGCAACAGACTAGAAAAGGGAGGATGGAGGAAGAGACATACAGTGGTACCTCGGGTTACATACGCTTCAGGTTACATACACTTCAGGTTACAGACTCCGCTAGCCCAGAAATATTACCTCGGGTTAAGAACTTTGCTTCAGGATGAGAACAGAAATTGTGCTCCAGTGGCGCAGCGGAAGGCCACATTATCTAAAGTGGTGCTTCAGGCTAAGAACAGTTTCAGGTTAAGAACGGACCTCCGGAACGAATTAAGTATGTAACCAGAGGTACCACTGTATATAAAATGTAAAGAGAACTATCTGGTTCACACTAAGAATATATTTTTAATGCCCCCAGGACAGAAGTGAGATATCAGAAATGTTAATTTAGCTGTGATGGGGGACATTGTGAAGGGCCTGCCAGCCTGTCTATTTAACAGATCTTACAGGTATATCAATGAGAAGGGTTGCAAATACCGATCTCAAGGCCCAAGCAGGTTCATGTGGGTGCAGGTGGTCCTTGAAATCACTTTACTTCAAACCATTTACTGTACAACTTTAGAAGTTAGCAGCAGCACCCAGAAGCATACAGGCAACCAACTGTTACAGGACTGGTGTACCATGTTCTGACCACCTGACAAGTCTCTAGATAGTTGCATCCTGTGTTAGCTGAAATTTCAAAACTGCCTACAAAGGCAGACCCATAAGCAGTGCATTTTGAGTCCTCCAACTTCATTACAGGAGACATATGACTGGTATCCTTCATCGCATGCATGTCTTGCCATTTGAAGAAGAAGAAGAAGAGTTTGGATTTGATATCCCGCCTTTCACTCCCTTTAAGGAGTCTCAAAGCGGCTAACATTCTCCTTTCCCTTCCTCCCCACAACAAACACTCTGTGAGGTGAGTGGGGCTGAGAGACTTCAAGGAAGTGTGACTAGCCCAAGGTCACCCAGCAGCTGCATGTGGAGGAGCGGAGACGCGAACCCGGTTCCCCAGATTAGGAGACTACCGCTCTTAACCACTGCACCACACTGGCTCTCCAGTACATTTGAAAATGTACCTCCTATCATTAGCCAATACTCCCTTTCCATTTTCACCCCCTTTAGGTGAAGCGAACTTTGTTATCCCAGCAAGCTCTCCTTGGCATAGGATCCGCACCTGTCCATTCCACCCAGTTCAGAGTGGGGTCCTTTCAAAGCTCTTCGAACTCTTCTTGGGATTTCATTGTGCTCTGGATAATCTGGCACCACTGCAAACTCATTACTGGTAGGTAACTTGTGAGCTGCTGCTTCGGAAGCTCTCTTTGGCTGAAGAGCGGGATAAAAGTGTTTTGAAGGAACGGACAGGAATAAACTGCCTCGCTACTTATCCCTGTGCATGCACAAGCAGCGGAGCTCCCACTCCAAGCTCCTCCGAGGAGGAGGCTCCGCTCGCTGCACACACTTGCCTCTATTGTGGCAACCGCCTGGCTGCTCCATACCCTTCGCCCCCTGCCTCGGAAGCACAAGGCAGCGCCGGAGAGAGAGCCCAGCAAAAGTCGCACCGGGGACGCGGCGGGCGGAGCGGCTGCCTGCTGTCGCCTCGCTTCGGGGCGAAAAGCCCCCCCGCAGGCACTACCTGGCGCCCCCCCCCCGCTCGCAGCCCCAGACAAAGCCCCCGCCGAAGAGGGCCGACAGCAAGCGGAGGGGAAAGGGCCCGCCGGACCCCGAACTTGTTGCTCTCGGCGGAGCCCGTCCAGGCTCCACACAGAGAACTAGCGCCTTAACTTCGACAACAACTCGCTCGGCGCCCACCCCCCACCCCGCCCATTGTTTCCCCGCCGCCCTCCAGGAATCCCAGCGCCGGGGAGGGGGGGTCTGAGGTGCTGGGGGGGCAAAGGGGTCTCTCTCTTTTCCTCTCACCTCTCTCGCCCCCTCGCCGAGGGGCCGGGAGACCCCCCAAGCAGGTCTCCCTCAGAGGAGCCAGCTCTCGCCCCGACTCCGTTGCCAGGGTGATGCCCGCCGGGCCCGCCTTGACTACGGCCCCGTCGGCCACTGGCCGAGGCGGGCTGTCAATCACGGGGCCCTCGGCCGGCCCGACGAGCTGGCGTGGCGGGAGGCGGCAGTTTTCGAGAGACTACAACTCCCACCATGCCCCTCCCCGCCCGCCCGCCGCTCGGAGGCCCCGACGCGTGAGGCCTGGTGGGAAGTTCAGGCTTGCCCCGAGTTGGGAGAGAAAAGGCGGAATAACGCGCTTCCCTCGCGCGCACCCCCCCCCGACAAATCTCCTAAATAAAATGAGCTCTGGAATTAAGCCCCTTTTGACGTATGTGCGTCGAAAATAATGACAGGAATCGCCACATCGCACACATTTATTCTCAGACCGAGGGTTAATTTTGTCGTTGCGTTTTAGTTTTGAAAGACTGCACAAAACTACTCCGAAGAGAAGTGCCTAGTCGGCAGGTTAGGCCAAGGCCCCCATCTCCTCCAGCATCCTCGTCTCGCAGTGGCCGGGCAGAGGCCCGTGGAAGCCCATAAGCAGACATGGGGTGCAACCACCATAGTCTCCTGCGTCTCCAAGAAACCGGCATTCAAAGGCACCAAGGGCAGTGAAGGCAGAACCACTGTGGCTAGTGGCCCAACAGCCTTGTCTTCCCTGGTCTGATCCTCTCTTAGGCCATCCAAGTTGGTGGCCATTGCTTCGTCTCATGAGAGCAAATGCCAGTTTTATGAGCCATTGATCAGCCTTAACAACAGTCCACTTTATTGAATGACCCCAAGTTCTAGTACCATGCAACAGGAAATATTTCTCTGTCCACTTTCTCCATAACAGGCAACTACCCACTTGCGCACAAGTGGCATGCATGCAACCCCTGATGCACCGCAAGTGGGACGGGGCAGGCTTACACGCGTCCTGATGTGCACGGTGCCTCAGAACTCAACCCCTGCGTAAAAGTTGTGCACGTTTCTTACCTTTCATCTAAATTAAAAAGCTACAAATGTTGCAACCTTTCCTCAAAGGGCAGTTGCACCATCCCCTTGATCATCTTGGGAGTTTTCCCCACTCTACAATATTATTTTTGAGGTAAAGCAACAAGTATTCCAAGTGTGGTCACACCATAGAGTTCAGCATTTAGGACAGTCATTTTTATTTTCAATCTAAATAAATATTCCTAGCATGGAATTTGCCTTTTTCACATTTGCCTCATCCTGGGCCAACATCTTCATCAAGCTATCAACGCTTTGGAGTACAAGCCTGGGCAGTGTGTCTGGAGGTCCTGGGCTTCACAAGCAACAAGACTTGCTGATGTGGTCCAGAGGAAAGCAAGAGCAATATGTTTGGAACCAGTTTGGCTGAAGTTGTCTGAAGGAGGTGTACATGGTGCCACCCAACTGCCTTAGGGACTCCACTCCGGATTTGTGTAGGATTTACTCCCTAGCCTTTCTTCTCCAGAAGAAGTCCCACAAGTCAGCGTGTCCAGATTTTTCCTCAGTGTTTACTCCCAAAGCCTTTCCCACTAATAAGTGTAGCTGCAAGGCATCAGGGGTTTAGGATCAAAGTCTTCCTTCTCTTAAAGCTACTCACTACAATCTCAATATTCAGTTCTGTTCAGCACATATATGTGCATTTAGGGGTTTTTTTTGGGGGGGAAGGGTTCCCCCTCAGTGCATCACTTTACACTTGCTTATGTTGAACCGTGTTTGCCATTTTACTGCCCGTTCAATTTGGAGAAATCCTTTGGGGCTTCTACTTGTTTTTGGTATTGTAGACCTGATTGCTTCACTGCTCGCCTCTAACTTTTGATCCTTTATGAATAATGAGCGAAAGCCAGAGAAGGCGAGGCAGCAAGCGGGGGGCTCCTTGCAAGGGCTAGTCCCGCAGGAGGCAGGTTTCCCAGGGGCAGTCGATCGCGACGTCGGTCTTTCTCCCCCCTCCCCTATTCCTGATCCCTTCTTCGCTGGCGGGGAGGAGGAGGAGGAGGTGGCGGCGCCCGTTTGGGGCTTCGGCCCAGGTGCCCCAACGCCACCAGCCCGTCGGGCTCTCCGGCCGCCTCCCTCCGGCGCGCTCCCCTTTCTTCTCCCGGCTCGCCTCCGCCCCGCCTGCTCCCACTCGCAGCAGCAGTGACCCAATGAAGCTATTTTGAAAGTGACCCCCGCAGCAGCTCAGCCCAGCCGGCAGCAGCTGTCGGAAATCATGACTGAAGATGACGGATTCCGCGGTGGTGGTGGAGGGCCCGCTCAAGTGGAGAGACGGCAAAAAGGTCCCCGGCGCCAAGCTCCCCCGGCCCGCCTTTTCTGCCTGGGGGGTCGGGCGGGGGGTCGGGGGGGGCTGCCGGAGGGGCTGGGCGCGGGAGAGGGGCGAGGGAAGGCGCGCCACCAACTGCATGTCTCTCTTTCTGTCTCCGCAGTGGAAGAACCGATGGGCGGTGCTGCGCAAACCTTCGCCGGTGGCGGGTGAGTCCGGGAGCGGGGGAGCTTTTCGCTCTTTGCTTTCCCCCCCTTCGCAGTGAGACGCGCGAGAGGGCTCCGCGGGCTCGTCGGGAGAGCGAGGGGACCCCGTGCGCCTTGGGAGAGGGAGCCCGGAGCAGAAGGGAAGGAGGCGAGGAGCGCGCTCTCCCCGTCGCCTCGCTGCCCTTGTCCGTCTCGCGGCTCTTCCTTTTCCCTTCCTGTTCTGGCGGCCGGAGGGCGCGCTAATTATAGAAAGAGGATATGGAAGGGGCCTGGAAGCCTGCGCGGATCACTTGATCCCCCTCTATAAAACCAAATCTTGGATTCAGTTTCGAACCATTTCTATATTAAGAAGGCCAGGCTATGGGGCCGGGTCCTCTCAGTCTGCTGGTGTATAATATAAATAAATAAACACAGCGTAATATAAGATTATCCGGCTCCTAGTTTTTCCCCCCTGATGAAACCGTCTACAGTATAGGCTAGCTGCCTTTCAAAAGACCCACACCTTTCAATTAACTAATTCCACTTGCATTCTTTTCTTGCTAGTTACATGCTGCCTCCATTTGTCTCTGTTCTTCAGCCTTTCCTTCCCAGTGACAATTGCCTCTTCTCTATGTATTCCCATACCATTCTTCCCATAAGAAATGGCTGTGATAATGAATGGATAGGCAGAGCTTTCTTTTTAATGCATGTATTATATTGGCTTTTTGAATATTAAAATTAACTTATATTGGATTGAAATTCATGCTGCAATAAATACTGAAATACACTTGCCTTCCCCCTGTTGGTAATCTTGCATGGATATGTAAAAAGTACAGTTTCAAGAAAAGTTCATAATTCTTGAGATATTTTATTTATTGCCATAAATTAATCTTACTCATGTTGAATGGATAACAAAAAATTAAACAAACTTTCTTAGGTAAAATGTGTTATTCCAGCAACCTCTTTGGAGACCTCTCAGAATAATTTACATTTTTGGAACAATAGGTATCATAAGTGTAATTATATATCACATAGCTTTTATCTGCTCTTTGATTAGAGGTTATCTATCTATCTATCTATGAGAGACATTTTTGTATGTGCTGTAACATTTTTAAAAATGCATCAAGAGCTTTATGTCACATAAAAAGTGTGTGCCAATAGGTTCTCAATATTAAAAATAAAAAGTAAAAGTGGAGGAAAGCACCCCCGCCCAAATGACCTGTAACTGATCTTTATGGTTGCCCAGTTCTAGTAAGGTGGACATGCTCTAGACATTTCAGGGTAATCCTCCCACCCTTGTTGCATCCGAATGAGATAAGGCCGGCTTGAACTTTGACTCCTCTGCTGGAGAGGAGATCCCAGTCTCCAGAATTGTCCTGCCTTACATCTCAAAAGCAGGATATGTGCTCTTCTTTTTATGCTCTCTTTTATTTTAATGACACATCTTCAACAAGGGCTTAGGTTTTTTTCTTTTTAAAAGTATGATGCAGGCGAAGATAGGTGAGCTCTATGGGGGCTGAGTCTTTTCTGCCATCCGTTTCTGGCTTGTGATGGGGAGGGAGAAGCAGAGTCTAGATAAGCCAGATGCTACATCGTTTTGCAGCAATTCTTGTACTTCTCCCCACCCTGCCATTTCTTCAAAGGAGTCAGTTGGGGCTTGCTTTTCTTTGGGGAGCACTTGGCAGACAAGAATGGAGAGGGTATGCTTGAGCTGCCTGCTTCTCTACTACATAATTGCAGGAAGGCATTTTCCTTGGCCTTTTCTGCTGGTCTAGGGCAGCAGGGAAGTGGAGGCTGCATGATGAACTTGAAATACACCTGCCCCTTTCTCTATCCTGTTACACCATCCCCTCAAGTTCAAGTGGACTGGGCAGAGAGGAACAACTGGGCAGAGGGGGCACCACAGTTTGAGAAGGATATTGACAAGCTGAAACATGTGCAGTGGAGAGCGACCAAGATGATCTGGTCTGGAAACCAAGCCTTAAGATGAATAGTTAAAGGAGTTGGGTATGTTTCGCCTGGGAAACAGGAAAATGAGAGGAGATATGATAGCCTACTTCAAATATCTGAAGGACTGTCAATCGCATGGAAGATGGAGTGAGCTTGTTTGCTCCTGCCCCAGAGAGTAGGACCCAACCCAAAGAATCCAAATTACAAGGAAGAAGATTCCAACTAAGCATCAGGAAGAACTTTCTGATAGGCTATCTCAGAATGTGGTGGTTTTTCAACAGAGGTTGGATCTGTCAGGGATTATTTGCAGGGCCCTGGACTAGATGATCCTTGGGGGTGCCTTACAACTCTATGATTCTATCAAAAGGAGGTACAATTCCTCATAGCCTTTCTGTTTTTACTCCCATTTTTCTCTCCTGCCTTTGCTACCTTCTCAGGGCTGGGCAAGCATAATAGGCAATAGACACCTGCAAAGTTGCAGCCCCTTGCCCTTGAAGTCCATTTGACTTCACCATTGGCTTATCTTCAGGAGCAGGCAATCCATTCAGTGACAAACTACACTTTCCCCTCTTCTCAGTGACATGGGTAGGATGCAGTACCCTTGGGTACAACACAGTGGTTGAGGCCTCAAAGGGTTTGCCTTATAGGGGAAACCTCAAAGGATTCGCATATGAAAATGCACTGACTTGGTTTTAAATAAGAGTTGTTTTGAGGCCCCAGTGACTAAGCAACTTTAGACCCACTTACCTGAAAATAAGTCCTAATGAATTCAGTAGGACTTACTTCTGAGTAGACATGAATAGGATTGTGCTGTAACTCAGCATTTGCTAGGGCGGAAACAGGAGCTGCTTCTCCCATATTTGTTACTTAATACCACAAATCTCACAGCAAGATCTATGGCATCCAATGGTCCTTTAGCAGCTCCATCACTCAGATGTGGATCCCATCTTCCAGTTGGTAGCCCCTTTTTTCTCAGGAGTGAAGCTCTTTGGTAGTTCCTTAAAGAAGGTCCTCATGGTGACTAATGAAAAGAAGAAAGCCTTGGCTAAGAAGACGAAAAGGCTACACGGTGCCAGTCCTCTCAGGTCTTCAGTCAACACTAAAGACTCAGAGAGACTACCAACCACAAGTCTAAGTGACAACATCACAAGACTTTGAGCATTTAATTGTTTAAATGCTAAATTGCTTATTTTATTATACTGTCTATAAACCATGTGTCAGGTGCGGGTGGTGGTTGCTCGGGAGTAATCAGGCAGGACTCCGACCTGTCTTTTACAGGTTTTATTGGTGCAAACTATTTACAGTGCAGAACCACAAAGTTCATGTCCGTCTTAGTCACTTGCAGATTCCAGGAGTGGCCCCTTCCGGTTTCTCCCCCAACATAAGAACTTAGACGCCCTGAATCTCTGCCTCCCCTCTTTACGTTTCATCCCTCTGCGTAAGCTGGGTGACGGAAACGTTTTGTGCCTCCTGGCCAGCCGGGCTAGGTGAGGCTCTTGGGCTCTCAGCAGCATCTTCGAGCCCTCCCTTTGTTTGGCTGCCCCCTTCCCTCTCTTCTCCACTGGAGGCGTGGGTTCCCCACTGCTGGACGAGGAGCTGCTCCTCAGAAGCATCAGAGGCTCTCTGTATCCCCCTGCCTCCCTCCCCTGTTCCGATGGCAGTCCCCTGATACCATGATAAGAACGTTGGAAAAAAGAAGCCTGTGCATTGAAAATATGGAAATAAATAATTATTCTCATTCCAGTGCTTTGGTAGTAGCATGTGAAATGAGGGTGATTTCTTTCCTGCTTTCTTCAGAACAGTCACAGTGACAGAACTGGGAAGAGATATAGACAATATATGTTTATTTTCTGAATAGCTAACAAAAGATAGCATTAGGATAACGACATAGATTTTGTTTTAACCCGTAAATTCATGTTGATAATCTTGCGGAGTGGTGGAATTATTTTTTCCACAAGGTGAGATGGCTTTGCGGAACATGGCAATGTTTGCACACCTGAATTAGCGTAGTACCTGTAATTATTCCTTTTGTATCTGATAAGTGCTTATATATGGCGCTTTATCATCTATATTATCTGATTAGGAAATGTTTCAGGAAATGAGTCCTGGTTAATACTAAGGATTAATTCTGATCAGCATGAGAATAAATGTTGCAATGCATCCATACTTTGTATTTGATCACAGGCTTCCATCTTTCAGATTGCTTGCTTATGCTTATATACAAGGAAAGATCTGAACGACTAAAGGGCCTGAAGGAGAGGAACAGCGTGACTTTGGAAGACATCTGTGGCCTGGATCCTGGGCTTTGTTATGAGGGTCTGAATCACACTCTTGCCATCATCTGTTTGAGTCAAGTTGTTATGCTGGGCTTTGAAAACAAGGAAACCATGCATGCCTGGGATCTGCGCATTCGCTACAGTTTAGGTGAAGGTAATGTTTGCTTCTTTTAAACATATGGTTTATTTGGTTAAAGCAAAAATATTGTGTACAGGAATGTGCTTTTGGTGCATAAGGGAATTTCTGAAGTACTTTGTCATATACCGTATTTTTCGCTCCATAAGACGCACCTGACCATAAGTCGCACCTAGTTTTTAGAGGGGGAATTCAAGAAAAAAAATTAATTAAAGGAAGCGCTGAGCAGAACCTGTATGCATCCCAGGCTCTGCTCAGCGCTCCCTTTCACGAGCTGCACAGAGTGTGTGTGCGGCGCTTGCAGGCTTTTCCCTGAGGAGAGAGAAGGGCAGCCCGGGGGGCATCTGCGCGCAGCCTGCCCGCTGCTCCCAGGGCTGATGGGGGAAGCCTGGGTTCCGCCCCCCCCCCAGCCCAGGGACCACACATTCGATCCATAAGACACACAGACATTTCCCCTTCATTTTTAAGAGGAAAAAAGTGTGTCTTATGGAATGAAAAATACAGTAGCTTTGAGACCAGAGAGAAAAGAAAAAACATTAACAATTTTACTAGCCTTTGTGCAAACCTAAACAACTGTTTGGCTCCCATGGGCTTTGTAAACCTAGCATCAGTGACCATTTATACATATCAGCAAATTCATTCATGCACCTCTGTTTTTGTGAAGGTGAATAACATGGAGTTATCTCATAGCCCTGAGCCATCCCACATTGGTCCAGAAGTATTGTGAGTCCACAATGCTTCAGAGATTACACAACTCTTGCTTTGTGTTTTGGTTGAATCATGCTTCCCCTTATCCTATTTTATTTATTTTTGTTTTTTTACAATGATATTGTTAACATATGATGGTTCCCTGCTCCTTGGTTGCCTTCTACAATTAGTTTGGCTACTTGTCCCTCTTTTCTTTTGCTTTTTATAGCATCTGTCAGGACAGAGATTGGGAACTTGAGGCTCTCCAGATGTTATTGCAGTAGAAATCACATCATTGGTTGGGGCTGATGGGAGTTGGAGTTCGACAACATCTGGAGAAATGGAGGACCAGAGTTTCCCCAATCCTGTCTTAGGGTCTGTTGTCGTGACCACTTCATCCTTAGCTGTCATGTAAAAAAGTCAGTCTCATGAAGCTTGATGGTCTCAGCATTTTACGCACCATTGCGAATCAACCTGAATATGAGTGCTGGTATGCAGGAGCTTGAAGCTGGCACACTAGAAAGCTGTGTTATAAGGAAAAATTGGGGTTCTTAACGAATATCTCCACCCGTTGATGCTTAATTCCTACTCCCTACTTCTCCCATGCAGATGCCCCCTAGGTCATTTCAACCATCTGTGACTCTAAGACTGGAAGTAGGCTTAGGTAAGGGGAAAGCTTCAGGAGGAGTGTTGCTTCACTCGCTCTTGTTGGTTTATTTCTCCCCTGCAAGTGTCCCTGTATCACTGAGATGATAACTCACTTGGTGGACTTCACTTGATGGAGAGCAGATTTTCTGAATAGTTGTGACTCGAGTACAGTGGTACCTCGGGTTACATACGCTTCAGGTTACATACGCTTTAGGTTACAGACTCCGCTAACCCAGAAATAGTGCTTCAGGTTAAGAACTTTGCTTCAGGATGAGAACAGAAATTGTGCTCCAGCGGTGCGGCAGCAGCAGGAGGCCCCATTAGCTAAAGTGGTGCTTCAGGTTAAGAACAATTTCAGGTTAAGTACAGACCTCCGGAACAAATTAAGTACTTAACCCGAGGTACCACTGTATAAGTGAGAGTGTGGTGTAGTGGTTAAGAGTGGTGGACTCGTAATCTGGTGAACCGGGTTCGCGTCTCAGCTCCTCCACATGCAGCTGCTGGGTGACCTTGGGCCAGTCACACTTCTCTGAAGTCTCTCAGCCCCACTCACCTCAAAGAGTGTTTGTTGTGGGGCAGGAAGGGAAAGGAGAATGTTAGCCGCTTTTGAGACTCCTTCGGGTAGTGATAAAGTGGGATATCAAATCCAAACTCCTCTTCTTCTTCTTTCTCTCTCTCCCCCCCCACTCCACTTCACATCTTGTTAAAATGCAGCCTTCCCTTTGTTGCCATTAAATTAATGTCTTTTTCTGTGAAATATGAAAAAGATTGTTTCAGTACAGTGGTACCTCTGGTTAAGTATTTAATTCATTCCGGAGGTCCGTTCTTAACCTAAAACTGTTCTTAACGTGAAGCACCACTTTAGCTAATGGGGCCTCCTGCTGCCGCTGCGCCGCCAGAGCACGATTTCTGTTCTCATCCTGAAGCAAAGTTCTTAACCCGAGGTACTATTTCTAGCTTAGCAGAGTCTGTAACCTGAAGCATCTGTAACCTGAGGTACAACTGTAGTTGGAAATTCTTTGTTTTCCCTATGAGCCATCAGAGTAAATGAGTTGCTCTTAAAATATTCAGCCCTTTGCTGTTATATATTTAAAAATAAAAATAAAATAAAATTGTAATGAAATTACAGGAAAAGAGGTTACCAGCACCAAGTTTTATTTTATGTCTTGTAGCCTTTGCTAAACGTCATTATATGAACATGGATTAGCATAAACATTTTTATGTTAGTGGTAATGAAACCAGTCTTCGTGCGCATTTTACTGTGTAATTATTTTTGGCAAAATGATTAAATTAATCCCTTGTACTTTCATTTCCCCCTCCTTCTGATAGTTCACAGGTTTCATGTTGTGGTAGCACCTGGAACTAAACTGGAGAGTGGTCCAGCAACTCTCCACTTTTGCAATGATATCCTAGTACTAGCCAAAGACATCCCACCCTCTATCATGGGACAATGGAAACTCTCAGATCTGCGACGCTACGGAGCTGTTCCTAATGGATTTGTCTTTGAAGGAGGAACTCGGTGTGGTTTCTGTGAGTATTCTGCACTTAAATTTTGATTAGCTGTTTGAATATAGAAAATTGTAGGATGATAGCATCTCATCAGTTAGGGATCTGTATGTAAGAATATATATATTAAAAATATTAGGGCTGCAAATAAAGTGGCAAAATGGTCCTAAAATATAATGTTCTATTATGTCTGTGAACAACTATGGGGATATGAAACTGTGTGGATGTGCATTCTTCTCAGAAAGGGGAGGTTTATTTGCACAGCTTGACATATCCCACCCCGTTCTATGGCTTTTAGTCACATTGGCTAGCTGTGCCCCTTTGATAATGAATGTATTCTCTTCCAAGAACTGGAAAAACATTATTCTTTCAAGTAATGTAGAGCATTCATAGGGCATTGTAGACATCAATAAATTAGAGGTAAAATGAATTTTTGTGAGGTTTGATTTTTGTGTTGAACTATGAATATTGAAATATGAATATGGATGAACCTTTCAATACAGCTAAGCAAATCTCTCTCTCCCTCTCCCTCTCCCTCTCCCTCTCCCTCTCCCCTCCCTCTCTCACTCTCACACACAATCAAAATAGTGTTTTTTCCCATTTTTTTGTTAATCACAGTTCAAACAGACCTATGCAAGTGCCCCCCCCCGAACTTAATGTTTAGGCACCAGGGAATTTTGTAGTCCCTTTGGGAGCAAGGGAACTGTGCATTCTCAAAATTTCTCAGAATAAGCCTGGAGAATCTCCTTTATACACTTTCTGAAAGCCTTCCACCTTCCTTGTACAGAAATAATGATTTGACTCAAAATTGTGAAATTTACCCAGTTAATTTCAATTGCCTCTCCAGCTTTGTTTAACTTTGATTCAGTGATTGATTTTGCTGATTTATTAGCACACTCACAAACTCTTGAGTCTATTTTTAAATAAAGCATATTTTGGGTTTTGCAAGGTAATTTTTTAAAAGAAAGAAATGGTTTTTTTCAAAGGGATTTCCAAGTTTTTTTAAAAAAAGAATTTTTAAATTGAGCTGTTGGAAGAACAATATTCTTACTCTGTAAAATGTTTTTTTTTAATGGATATTCAACTGCTGTCCACTATAATGGCTCCCCCTAGTGAGTAGCAAAGGAGGCAGCTATTTTTATGAGTTTGAATTTTCCAAAATTCACCCCAGAACAGGTGTTGGGGGGGGGCAGGAAACAGCGCTCCCCTGCAAAAGAATTTTGTCTCCCTGTCATTAAAATGTTTCTTAATAAAAATACCCCATTTGAAACAGCTGTGAACCAGTCCATGTCAGTTTATTACAGGATTTGGGAGCTAACCCTGTGGACTATTTTAGGGATGGTGTGGTTTCCTGGAGCCTTAATATCCAGAATTCATTCACTTTATTCCTATGTCTAGAATGTGGACAAATATTAGATAATGTTTCAGGGGGGGATACTTGAAACAGACTGAAAAATTAAGAATCATTTTTGTCAATGAAATAATAAAAAAGACTTTTTGGATTATTTCTAGAAAAAAAATAAGTAGTAAAATAATATTTAAAAAGGAAAGGCAGTTAAAATTTCATTTTGAAAGCATTTTATCACTATTCATTCTAGACTGTAATAATATATTCAAAATGTTTGATAGAAGATCGGGTTCTTGTTTCATTGTCTCCAAACCACCGTCAAAAAAAGCCTTCTGCAACTATGTGGTTTTTGCTATATTTAATTATCCACTAAGACAAGAGCCCAATAATGTGTTGCCCTTCACAAACAAAAGTTCACAATGTAGCGCAAGATAGCACCTTTTCCTCTCTGGTTCAGGAATTTGACCAAAACAGCAACCACAAGTCCATATTATTATAGTGCTCTGGTCTAGTACAGAAACACTGTACACAGGTACACAGGTTAAGAACCTCTGAAATGTGACCGCTTAAGGATAAGATCTTTCTGGTAGGGTAGCAATGCTAGAGCCAGCATAGCATATAGATTGCTCCTTAGGTTGTTTTGATGTTGCATAAATATGCCAATGTGTCCTTCATCCAGAATTAAAATCGTCCTAAACGTTTTGCTTTCTTTCAGGGGCTGGTGTGTTTTTTTTATCTTGCACGGAAGGAGAAAAGATCAGCTTTCTCTTTGATTGCATTGTTCATGGCATCTCTCCAATGAAAGGCCCTTTTGGTCTACGTCCAGTCCTGCCAGGTTAGTTTTGGATGCATAGCATAACAGCACTTTTTTCAGCCGGAACTCAGTTTCAGCACCTCCCAGGTAGGCGCCATTGCCATTATAAGAGAACAAGGGATGCATTTATAGTGAGTTCTGCCACCTCTTTTTCTAGAAAAATAGCACTATGCATAACCATGTAACAAGGGAGTTTAGCTTGTATAATATATTTCACTTTGATTGGAATAAGAGGTTCTGGATGCATAAAATGTTTGTCATCATTAAACATCAAAATACAATTACATGTGCATTTTTCCTTTGATTGTCTAAATAAAAGGTATATATATAGTTGCATAGGTAAAGGGACCCCTGACAGTTAAGTCCAGTCGCGAATGACTCTGGGGTTGCGGTGCTCATCTCGTTTTACTGGCTGAGAGAGCCGGCGTTTGTCTGCAGACAGTTTTCCCAGGTCATGTGGCCAGCATGACTAAGCTGCTTCTGGCGAAACCAGAGCAGCGCATGGAAACACCATATACCTTCCCGCCGGAGCAGTACCTGTTTACCTACCTGCACTTTTTGGTGTGCTTTCGAACTGCTAGATTGGCAGGAGCTGGGACCGAGCAATGGGAGCTTACCCTGTTGCGGGGATTCGAACTGCCGACCTTCTGATCGGCAAGTCCTAGGCTCTGTGGTTTAGACCAGTGTTTCCCAACCGGTGTTCCGCGGCACACTAGTGTGCCGTGAGACGTTGCCTAGTGTGCCGTGGGAGGGAGGCGGGCGAGTCGGGCGGCGAGGGGCGGCGAGAGGCGGGGCGCCGGCGGCGAGCACACACGGGGCGGCGAGCGAGCTCCCTCCCACATCCCATCGCCGCGAATGCAGGCTTTCGCTGAAGCCTGGAGAGCGAGAGGGGTCGGTGCGCACCGACCCCTCTTGCTCTCCAGGCTTAAGGAAGCTATCCCCCAGCCGCGCAAGCTCCCAGAGCGATGCCAAAGCTGCGCGCACCTTTGCCATCGCTCTCCAACCCGTTCGGGAGGCTGGGGTCGGGGGAAGCTCCAGCTTCCCCCGCCCGCAGCCTCCCAAGCCCCGAGAGCGATGGCGAACGTGCGCACACCATCGCCATCGCTCTCCGACCTGCTCTGCGGGCTGGGGAGGGGGGAAGCTCCGGCTTCCCCCGCCCCCAGCCCGCGCAAGGTCCCAGAGCGATGGCGAAGATGCGCACACCTTTGCCATCGCTCTCCGACCTGCTCTGCGGGCTGGGGACGGGAGAAGCTCCGGCTTCCCCCGCCCCCAGCCCGCGCAAGGTCCCAGAGCGATGGCGAAGGTGCGCACACCTTCGCCATCGCTCTCCGACCTGCTCTGCGGGCTGGGGACGGGAGAAGCTCCGGCTTCCCCCGCCCCCAGCCCGCGCAAGGTCCCAGAGCGATGGCGAAGGTGCGCACACCTTCGCCATCGCTCTCTGACCTGCTCTGCGGGCTGGGGACGGGAGAAGCTCCGGCTTCCCCCGCCCCCAGCCCGCGCAAGGTCCCAGAGCGATGCCGAAGGTGCACACACCTTCGCCATCGCTCTCTGACCTGCTCTGGCGGCTGGGGCGGGGGAAGCTCCGGCTTCCCCCGCCCCCAGCTCCTGCAAGCTCCGAGAGCAATGGCAAAGGTGCGCTCACCTTCGCCATCGCTCTCGGACCCTTTCTGGGGGCTGGGGGCGGGGGAAGCTCTGGCTTCCACCACCCCCAGCTCCTGCAAGCTCCGGGAGCAATGGCAAAGGTGCGCTCACCTTCGCCATCGCTCTCGGACCCTTTCTGGGGGCTGGGGGTGGGGGAAGCTCTGGCTTCCCCCACCTCCAGCCCCGCAAGCTCTGGGAGTGATGGCGAAGGTGCGCTCACCTTTGCCATCGCTCTCGGACCCTTTCTGGGGGCTGGAGGCGGGGGAAGCTCGGGCTTCCCCCACCCCCAGTCCCGCAAGCTCCGGGAGCCACTCTGGCTCCCATTCTGGGGGCTGGGGTCGGGGGAAGCTTGGGCTTCTCCCGCCCCAGCCCCGCGTCTGGGGGGGGAAAATAATTTTTCCCCCTTTATTTCCCCCCCAAAATCTAGGTACGTCCTATGGGCCGGTGCGTCCTATAGGGCGAAAAATAGGGTAGTCAATATAGGCACAGAGTTAATTTTTTAAACATTTTCTAATGGTGGTGTGCCTTGAGATTTTTTTCATGAAACAAGTGTGCCTTTGCCCAAAAAAGGTTGGGAAACACTGGTTTAGACCACAGCGCCACCCACGTCCCATATAGTTGCATAAAAGGTAAAGGTAAAGGTACCCCTGCCCGTACGGGCCAGTCGTGTCCGACTCTAGGGTTGTGCGCTCATCTCACTTAAGAGGCTGGGGGCCAGCGCTGTCCGGAGACACTTCCGGGTCACGTGGCCAGCGTGACGAAGCTGCTCTGGCGAGCTGGGACCAGCGCAGCACACGGAAACGCCGTTTACCTTCCCGCTATAAAGCGGTACCTATTTATCTACTTGCACTTAGGAGTGCTTTAGAACTGCTAGGTGGGCAGGAGCTGGGACCGAAAGACGGGCGCTCACCCCGCCGCGGGGATTCGAACCGCCGACCATGCGATCGGCAAGCCCTAGGCGCTGAGGTTTTACCCACAGCGCCACCCGCATCCTCTGATATAGTTGCATAAATGTGTATAAATGTTAAAAAGCTAGAGGGGGACCCAGCATTAATTTGAGATGTTGAGTTGAGTTGCATCACACTACTCTGAAAATTAACTTGTTAAACTTTGGCATAATTGGAAGTTGCCAGGTAATTAATTTTGAAAGTAAAAATTTTCCTTGCTAGGCAAACATCAAGAACATTGCTATTAGTTCAGTTTAGTATCAGGTGAATCACAGGACCATAGAATTGTAGGGTTGGAAGGGACTCAAGTGTCAACTGGTCTAATGCCCTGCAATGCAGGAATCTCAACTACAACAGATGACCATCCATCCTCTGCTTATAAACCTCCAAGGAGAGTCCACCACATTCTAAAGAAGTCCATTCCACTGTCAAAAAGCTCTTACTGTCAGAAAGTTCTTCCCGATGTTTAGTTGGCATCTCCTTTCTTGTAATTTGAAACTATTGGTTTAAGTCCTATCCTCCAGAGCAGGAGAAAACAAGCTTACTTCATCTTCCATGGGACATACCCAACTCCCTCAACCATTCCTCATCAGTCTTGGTTTCCAGACCCTTGATTATCTTGGGCACATATTCTAGCTTGTCAATATCCTTCTTAAATTGTGATGCCCAGAACTGGACACAGTACTCCAGGTGTGGTCTGACCAAGGCATAATAGAGTGGTGCTACACCCTGAGAAGGGACGCGGGCGGCACTGTGGATAAAACCTCAGTGCCTAGGGCTTGCCGATCGCATGGTCGGCGGTTCGAATCCCCGCGGCGGGGTGAGCTCCCGTCGTTCGGTCCCAGCTCCTGCCCACCTAGCAGTTCGAAAGCACTCCTAAGTGCAAGTAGATAAATAGGTACCGCTTTATAGCGGGAACGTAAATGGCGTTTCCATGTGCTGCACTGGTGCTGGCTCGCCAGAGCAGCTTCGTCACGCTGGCCACGTGACCCAGAAGTGTCTCCGGACAGCGCTGGCCCCCGGCCTCTTAAGTGAGATGGGCGCACAACCCTAGAGTCAGACACGACTGGCCCGTACGGGCAGGGGGTACCTTTTTACACCCTGAGAACAGCTGACTGGCAGGCTAAACCAAGTGAGGGTAGCCAATGGATCTTAAATCCTTGGTGAGTTAGGGACTTGCCCTGCATGTGAAGACAGGCTCTGGTGGATTGAGCAGAAAAGACCCACAGTGGGCCAATGGTCAAGAAGGCAGTTTCTGCACGTGCTGTCAAGGGAAGTAAGGACAGATGGGGCTCAACCTCGGAGAAGCAAAACTCTAATCCTAAACCTCCGCTGCCTTTTGGGATATCTTTGGGAGAAGAAAAGTCTCAGGAGTAAACCCTAGACAAATCCAGAGTGGAGTCCCTAAAATGGTTGGATGGAGTCTTGTACACTCCTTCCAGCAACTCCTGCAGCCAAGCTGATGCCAAACATATTGCTCAGCGAGGCCAGGGGGCGGGTTGTTGTCTGGGCAGCCCAGGACCTCTAGACACACTGCCCATTCTTGCACCCTGGGGAGGTCACTTTGGTGCTGTTAACGCAAAGGTTAGACTTCACCCCTGGAGGCAGACTCCATTGTCTCTCGAGACAGATGGATGCCAACAACAACTGGTTGGTTAGAAGGAAACAATCATATTGTGTAGTTTGAAATACATGAATACATTATTAGCACCCCAAATTTTTAGTCCAAGCATCATTAGTTCAGTTGTATCTCATAGAATGAGACAAACCTTGGAGAAACATGATTTACAGGCCAATTCTACAAGTGTTGACTCAGCTGTAAATCCCAGTAGGCTCAATTGGGCTCACTTTCTGATAGGTGTGCATAGGATTTCAGCTGTTAAATGTTTAGAACATTAACACTTAAACTTCAAAGTGGTTCAAGAAATCACTGTGTGGTCTTCAACAACCTAGATTAAAATTTGTGCATCCTACCAGATTAAATGAGGGCATGGTTGTCACTGAAGGGAAAGTAATATCTGACAAATGGTGAAAATAGCATTGATGTCTAGCCATTCAAATATCTTTTTACAAATGTATTAACTGTAATAATTACTGAAATTCCTGACTGGAAAATGGAAGAACAAGTATTGTTTGCCAAGAAGGAATTATGAATTTATCATTTTACAGTGGTACCTCGGGTTAAGAACTTAATTCGTTCTGGAAGTCCGTTCTTAACCTGAAACTGTTCTTAACCTGAGGTACCATTTTAGCTAATGGGGCCTCTGACTGCTGCGGCCGCACAATTTCTGTTCTCATTCTGAAGCAAAGTTCTTAACCCAAGGTACTATTTCTGGGTTAGCAGAGTCTGTAACCTGAAGCGTCTGTAACCTGAGGTACCACTCCTGGAGGGAGTTATTAGTAGCTGATATTAAAAACCTCCCCTTCTGATGCTATATGTAAAGATTTTGGGTGGCAGGAAAGAACAGAACTCTGGTACCGGAACCCTCTTGATTATAAAGCAACAAAGTGCTCATGTTTAAGGTTCGCAGGCAGCTCCAGGTGCTCTACTTAGACTATTAAAGTGGAAGCGTTGTTGTTTTTTACAGCTAAGTCTCAGTTGTGATTTGTCACTTTGGATTTGTTTTTTTAAGACCCCAGCATAAATCCTGCATGCACAGAAGAGAGAGTGGCCCATGAAGCTTTGCAGTTAGAGAAGCGACTCAGCCTTCTGTCCCATACAAGTTATCATGGGAGTGCAGGTAAGGACAAAGTACCGTATTTTTTGCACCATAACACTCACTTTTTTCCTCCAAGAAAGTAAGGGGAAATGTCTGTGCGTGTTATGGAGTGAATGCCTGCTGGTGGCGGGGGGATCTGCTGCAGTCGTGAGCAGAGGATCCATGGTTCCCCTTCCTTCCCTCCTCCGTGGTTACAAAGCATGGATCCATATGGAGCCTCAGGATTTTTGCATTGGGCTACTCCAAACTCACTGTCAGATCACATGTCTGTGGCCACAGCATGAACCACAAAAATCATATATCCACTATTTGGAATATTTTTTTCCTTGTTTTCCTCCTCTAAAAACTACGTGCGTGTTATGGTCTGGTGCGTGTTATAGAGCGAAAAATACGGTACATCATCCACCTGGGCATTTGATCCTGTTTTCTCAGGCCTCTGGCATAAGGGGTGGTGCCACGTGGGCCACAAGACCTCTCCAGCTGACTCACCAACCACTTCTCCCGGGCCCCACACCCTCTGAGGCCCCTCGCCTTCTGCAGCCCTGGTTCCAAGGCTGTACAGCCATTTCCCCCTGAGCAGCAGTACCAGATTGTGGGAGGCATGAAATTTCCACCGCCCCTGTTTGTGATGTCTCCCCGCCTGCTGCTGCTCCACTGATTTGCAAGAACAAGTGGGAAAGGGGGGCCATGGCTGCCCACAGAGGAGGGGGTTGCTCTCTTTCCTCATGGGCAGGTCACCGTGTTTCTGTGCTATTGGAAAAAGAGAGGACTCTCCATGGGGTGTTTCTCTCTCTTTGATCTCACCCATTGCAGGCTTTCAAGCCCCTAGAAGCTGGCCAGGGGGTGAATGTGCCCTCAAGTGATGTCCCCTTACCTGATAAAGGGCTTTTCCACACTTCCTCTTCCCCGCAGCTTTCCCCCATGGAAAGCACTCAATCAGAGCAAATGGCAATTTGGGTTTTCCCCAGGTTGCCATTTGTTCTGATCTCTTGCGAGAGCGGGTTTTATTTTGGAAAGGAGCAGCAGGGCAAGGGTGAAAGCCCTCATACCTGTGTTTTCTAGGCATCACACAAGCGGAAGTGCGGATGAGCCCTTAAAAGGTAAAGGACCCCTGACAGTTATGTCCAGTCGCAGACGACTCTGGGGTTGTGGCGCTCATCTCGCGTTACAGGCCGAGGGAGCCGGCGTTTGTCCGCAGACAGTTTTTCCGGGTCATGTGGCCAGCATGACTAAGCCGCTTCTGGCGCAATGGAACACTGAAACCAGAGCAGTGCAAGGAAACGCCGTTTACCTTCCCACCGGAGCAGTAACTATTTATCTACTTGCACTTTTGGGTGTGCTTTTGAACTGCTAGGTTGGCAGGAGCTGGGACCAAGCAATGGGAGCTCACCCTGTTGCAGGGATTCGAACTGCCGACCTTCTGATCGGCAAGCCCAAGAGGCCCAGTGGTTTAAACCACAGCACCACCTGCGTCCCTGGGACGAGCTCTTAGACTCCTCAAAATAGCTAAAGCTAAAGTCACATCTAGGCCATGGCTTTAGACTAGAGATATGATGAGATGAAATTTGTCATTGAGTATATTTGCCATTCTTCATTCTCCTGTAGCAGTTGTGGGGTACCTCTGGCCTAGTGGCCTAATTAGGTTTGGCATGAGTCATAATTTGGTCCACACCTGATGTCACATATGATGTTGGGGTGGGGCAGGTAGAGACAGGGCTTCAAAGGGACAACTGGAAGCTTTGTGTGAGCTTCTGGCGGTTCCTTTGCAAGTGGGGCTCCTTGTCAATGTCAATCAGCCGGATGATGCTGACAGGGTCCCGTTCTGGAACTGGCTGCACTAGGAAGTTTCCCACTGGAAAATCCCTAATGCAGCCAAGGGACTTGGTTTCTCTAAATTGAGTGTTACTCCCCTCACAGATGTAGTGATCTAGAACTCCCTGAACTGTCAAAGTCAGAAGTATGGCTGATACCCCAGCTATCATCTTTCTTTATAGTGCAGCCATTTCCACTTGAATCATCAATCTCCTTTCTTTCATCCTAGGTGATGACAGAAGCTTATCAAGTTCATCTTCGGACACAAGCCATTCTGATGCTAGCATTGGGAGCCGATTGACTATTTGGGCAGACCAGTCTTCAGCCAGTACTTCTCAAGAAAGTCATGGATTGCCTGCAGCAAAGGGAATTCATCTTGGGGAAGAGAAGGCCCATTCAGAAGGTGTCCGCAGCATCACCAAACCACCTCCTAAGCTTCTTCGATCCAGACAACTGCAAGAAATAGGCCGCCAAAGTTCTTCTGATAGTGGGATAGCTACTGGGAGTCATTCTTCTTACTCAGGAAGTTTTTCCTCATATGCTGGGAGCCTGGACATTTGCCGTGGTGATGAATTTGGATCATTGTTGAGTCTGCCGCTGAACCTCCCTTCAGACCAGAGTATATGCACTTGCCCACCAGGTGATCACCTGAGGAGCCCTGGCCTGGAGTACCAGGTTCCCAGTTCCCTTAGACACGCCTATGACACACCCAGGAGTTTGCTACAGGTAGCTGCTAAAGACACACAAAGTTCAAGTTCAGATTCCTCATTATCCAAGGGTGAATCGTCTCAAGAAATTAGTGACCTCAAACTGCCATTGCTACATCTGGAAGAACAAGCTTCTCCTGAGCACAGAGGGGAAGGGGGCATGCAAGCAGCTCTCCCCCAGGAACATGCCAAAGACTCATCGCTTGAGGCAAGCATAGATTTTGTTTCAAGGTGGTCACATATAAGACAACAAGCACAATTGTTAGATTCTAGAAGTACTGATGTGGCAACATTCGTTGGGGTCTCCAGCAGCCCATGTGAACTGTGTAGCTCTCCTTCTGGGACAACTCGAGCTTTCTTTTCACCTTGCCCGGTCTGTGGAGGGCTAAAGGTAAATCATTGTTCTGAGCACATGCTGGTCTTCTTTGTAGAATTGTGTGCATTTTATGGGAGGATAAATGCTACTATATATGTGCCAATGGTAGCTGAAATCAGTTACCGTCAGGAAAACATTAACAACAACAGGTAAATGTTATTTTATTCATTACAGTGGTACCTCGCAAGACGAACGCCTCGCAAGACGGAAAACCCGCTAGACGAAAGGGTTTTCCGTTTTGGAGGCGCTTCGCAAAACGAATTTCCCTATGGGCTTGCTTCGCAAGACGACAGCCCATAGGGAAATCTCCGGGACAGCGGGGAAGCGCAGCGCGTCTTCCCCGCTGTCCTTGGACCTCCTCCGAAGCCTGGCGGCGGGGCGGGGACACCTCCTCTCCCCGCCGCCGGGCATCGGAACGATGTCCCGATGCCGGGCAGTGGGGCGGGAACCTCGCACCCCGCCGCCGGGCATCGGAACGATGCCCCGATGCCGGGCGGTGGGGCGGGAACCTCGCACCCCGCCGCCGGGCATCAGAACGATGCCCCGATGCCGGGCGGTGGGGCGGGAACCTCGCACCCCGCCACCCGGCATCGGAACGATGCCCCGATGCCGGGCGGTGGGGCGGGAACCTCGCACCCCGCCGCCGGGCATCGGAACGATGCCCCGATGCCGGGCGGTGGGGCGGGAACCTCGCACCCCGCCGCCCGGCATCGGAACGATGCCCCGATGCCAGGCGGTGGGGCGGGAACCTCGCACCCCGCCGCTGGGCATCGGAACGAGGTCCTGGACCTCTTCTGAAGGCAGGCGGGGGCAAAAGTCTTTGTCCCCCCTGCCTGCCTTCCCAGGGGCTTTTAAATCGCCCCGGACAGCGGAGAAGTCCTCCGCTGTCCCGGGCGATTTTAAAATGCCGCCCGCCAGCATTTTAAGATCGCCCCGGACAGCGGAGACGTCCTCCGCTGTCCCGGGGTTTTTTAAAATGCTGGGGGTGGGAAGAAAGGCCCTTGTCCCCCCCCCCAGCCTTCAGAAGAGGTCGGGGGACAGACTGTCCCCGGACCTGGTCTGAAGGCGGTTTCCCTAGGAACGCATTAATTGATTTTCAATGCATTCCTATGGGAAACCGTGCATCGCAAGACGAAAAACTCGCAAGACGAAGAGACTTGCGGAACGAATTAATTTCGTCTTGCGAGGCACCACTGTACATTTATATCCAACCTTTTGTTCCATTGAATTCAGGGTGTCATGCTTAAGGTTACTGGGTGATTTCCCATGCAGACATTGACCAGCCCAGGTTTGCTGAGCTTCTGCCTTCATACCTTGTCCCAGGACTATGTGGAGCCTCTAAGATGGTTGGAGGGCACCTTTCACGCCTCCTTCCAGCAACTCCTGCAGCCAAGCTGGGGCCAAATGGATTGCTCTGCTTGCCTTTGGTCTTGTCATCTGAGCAGTCATACACACTGCCTGGGCTTGTGCCCCGGAGAGCTCACTTTAGTGCTGCTAACACGGTTGTTTGGCTTCACCCCTGGAGGTACGCTCCACTGTCTATTGAGACAGACAAGTGCCAATGATTCTTTTCCCATTTTGGAGGGCCAGATGTTCCTGAAGACAACTATTAAGTCTGTAGGAGAAATCAGTTTGATCCATCAGAAATAACTGAACATTTGTTCAGACTTTTATTAAAATAAATTGTGTTGGGCCATTTTGAGATGGCCTGTCTTAGGATATGGTTCCTGCCAGCCAGCTCGTAATTCAACTGAAGATTGCCCCTAGTCTAGGAGTGGGAACCTCTTCTCTATAAAGGTCAATGGCACTGGCGGAGGAAGAGGAGTGCGGGGGGAGTGCACCGCCCCCGGCAGCACGATCCTGGTGGGGTGCCATTGCGGCTGCCCCCCTGCCCGCACTGGGTGCCACACCCCCGCAGGCGGCGTGCCATGCCCCCAGGACACACACCATGCCCCTGTGGGTGGTGCGCCACGCCCCCAGGATGCACAACATGCCCCTGCGGGTGGCGCACCATGCCCCCGGGATGCGCGCCAGCCATACCCCTGCCTGCTCTTTGCCCCCTGGTGCCAGAGCATGAAGCTCCGCCACTGGTCAGTGGTGCAATAGGTCAGTGTGTCTCGCTGCTAACCAGAAGGTTGGTGGTTTGAGCCCCCCCAGCGACAGCTGTGGACAGGATTCCTGCATTGCAGGGGTCCCTTGGGGGTTCCTTCGAACTCTGGTGCTATGATTCTATTACCCTCTGGAAAAGCCAGTCAAGGGCTATAACTGATGGTGGGCCAAGCCAGAGCCAAAAATGAGCGGTATTTGCAGCATTTTATAGCTTGCTCGCTCTCTGTGCCACCCTGACTTTGAAACTGAGCCAAGAGTTGCATGCTGCCTGGGAGCCATTGGGCCCTTAGCCCAAGGCATTAGTGTTATTGTACCACTTGCTATATCTAGATGTTCAAGTGGAAAGTTTCATCCTTTTAAACAAAAATGATTCAGTTCTTTGTCTCTGCAAAATCTTTAGGTGAGCAGCTCCACAATATAACCATGCCTTATTGCACTGGCATTTTAGCTCCTTGAAAATATGGTTGGTTGAATGTGGCCTGAAAATGAGACAAAACATGGTACTTATGCTAGTGAAAAGTTTATTGCAACAGGTTGGGGGAGCATGAACAAAGTTGGGCCAAGTACACTATTAAGTCTTGAGTAAAAATCATGGGTCATTCATATACAGTGGTACCCCGCAAGACGAACGCCTCGCAAGACGGAAAACCCGCTAGACGAAAGGGTTTTGAGTTTTGGAGGCGCTTCGCAAAACGAATTTCCCTATGGGCTTGCTTCGCAAGACGAAAGCCCATAGGGAAATCTCTGGGACAGCAGGGAAGCGCAGCGCATTTAGAAGCGCTCGGGGAAAGCAGCGCACTTCGCTGCTTTGCCCAGAGTGCTTTTAAATGCGGGCGGCGGTGAGGGAATCCCTTGGCCCCCCGCCGGACTTCCCGAAGCTCTTTTGAAGTCCGGCGGGGGTCCAAGGGATTCCCTCACCGCCGCCCGCCTTTAGAAGCGCTCGGGGAAAGCAGCGCACTTCGCTGCTTTCCCCGGAGTGCTTTTAAATGCGGGCGGCTGGGAGGGAATCCCTTGGCCCCCCGCCGGACTTCCCGAAGCTCTTTTGAAGTCCGGCGGGGGTCCAAGGGATTCCCTCACCGCCGCCCGCCTTTAGAAGCGCTCGGGGAAAGCAGCGCACTTCGCTGCTTTCCCCGGAGTGCTTTTAAATGCGGGCGGCTGGGAGGGAATCCCTTGGCCCCCCGCCGGACTTCCCGAAGCTCTTTTGAAGTCTGGCGGGGGTCCAAGGGATTCCCTCACCGCCGCCCGCCTTTAGAAGCGCTCGGGGAAAGCAGCGCACTTCGCTGCTTTCCCCGGAGTGCTTTTAAATGCAGGCGGCTGGGAGGGAATCCCTTGGCCCCCCGCCGGACTTCCTGCAGCTCTTTTGAAGCGCTGCCGACCCCCAGCATTTTAAAATCTCCCCGTGTCCCGGGGAGGTTTTAAAATGCTGGGGGGCGGGAGCGAAGCGGGGAGGGGGGCGGGAAGACCTGCCCCAGCCGCCCCACTTCGGAACGCTGTTCCGAAGCGGGGAGGGGGGCGGGGACACCTGCCCCAGCCGCCCCACTTCGGAACGCTGTTCCGAAGCGGGGAGGGGGGGCGGGGAGACCTGCCCCAGCCGCTCCACTTCGGAACGCTGTTCCGAAGCGGGGAGGGGGGGCGGGAAGACCTGCCCCAGCCGCCCCACTTCGGAATGCTGTTCCGAAGCGGGGCGGGGGGGCGGGGACACCTGCCCCAGCCGCCCCACTTCGGAACGCTGTTCCGAAGCGGGGCGGGGGGCGGGAACACCTTCTGAAGGCGGGCAGGGGGCGAAAGTCTTTGTCCCCCCTGCCTGCCTTCCCAGGGGCTTTTAAATCGCCCCGGACAGCGGAGAAGTCCTCCGCTGTCCGGGGCGATTTTAAAATGCCGCCCGCCAGCATTTTAAGATCGCCCCGGACAGCGGAGAAGTCCTCCGCTGTCCCAGGGTTTTTTAAAATGCTGGGGGTGGGAAGAAAAGCCCTTGTCCCCCCCCCCCAGCCTTCAGAAGAGGTCCGGGGACAGACTGTCCCCGGACCTGGTCTGAAGGCGGTTTCCCTAGGAACGCATTAATTGATTTTCAATGCATTCCTATGGGAAACCGTGCATCGCAAGACGAAAAAACCGCAAGACGAAGAGACTTGCGGAACGAATTAATTTCGTCTTGCGAGGCACCACTGTATATAATTCAGAGTCTGGTTACTGTGCTGGTTAAGAATATATGAAGTACCATAACTGAGGAACTTTAAATATAATGATCTTACTCAGCTGTCACAGTCTTGCTTGTGCCATTTCCCCCTGCTGTTCCTGGCGACTTCTTGACTGACTGGTTGCTTCCAAAGGCCTCTAGACAGAGACCATTGAGAAGGGGGAAGTTTGGGATGCCACTGTAATTTTAGCTTTTCTAATAATAGGGCAGTGGTGCAAAAAGTGTTAGGCAAATTGACCAGTCCTCTTTCAGAATTTGTCAAGGCCTGAGATGGGCAAATGGGAGGTCTAGTATCTCTGAAAATGTGCCACGTTAGAAATTAAGTGCTTACCGTGATTTCTAAATCAGCACATGTTCAGAATACCCGTTGTTAAGGAAAATCAATAGGAGAGCTGCTGTGTCATGCCTGGCTTGCAAACCACCCTGGAATTTCTGAATGGTCACTGTTGATAACAACTTTCTTGGGCAGCTTGCAATGTCAATAAACTATTAAAATGCACCGGTCACTTACAGAAGAATAAAACATCAGTCTTCAACAGAATTTAAAAGATTTAAGATTAATTTAAAGAAATTGAAGAAATTAAAAAGGTTTGTGCCTCCCACAAAAAACTCTAAAATAGGTGCTAAGTGAGCCTCTCTGGGAACAGCACTCCACAGCCAAGGTGCCAGTGCCAAAGGGGGCCTCTCTCTACCAGCCCCTTGTTAAAAGATATTGTAGTTTAATGTTGAATGAACAGCCTGCTGGTGCATGCTGATCAATAATGCCCGATTTGCTCCTCCTCGGCCCCTGCTTTTGCTGCATTGAGGAGAAGACAAACCAGATTCTTTCTTCACATTATATGGAAACCCCTCCCTTGCCTTTTCCACATTTGTGGAAGCCAGGGCAATTCCTCCTGGAGCTCAGCTGAAGTTGGCTGACCATGGTAAGTCCCCCGATGGGGTTGTTGTGGGGGTGCAGCAATGCTGGGGTAGGACAGGACAGGGGCAGACTTGCACCTATTGCAAACGCCTTTCAACTCAGCCATGTGACCTAGCAACCCAGTTGAACTTACACCAGCAAAAATGATAATGTAAGTCAAAGCCTTCTTTTAAAGTCTTGTTTTCCCTCTGCCAGGCTCAGGACAGCTCAGCAAGCAGTAGCCCCGGTGCTGGACAGAGTTTGGGAAAGGAGTAACTTATGCCTGCTTAACTCAAGGCAGAGTTAAGTTCTGCTGGATTCCTATAGTTAGGATTGATCTGTTTTTTTAATTTAATAGTGATGATCTTCTAGTTCATATGGAGGTCAATTTCAGCATAAAGTGTTCATCTGTTGCATATATATATAATCATTTACATATGCATAAAGGATTAATCATTTCAAATGTACTTGTAAAATTATTTACAAACAATACTGAGAGCTGGACTGACAGGATTTGAGCTCATTCAAACAAGGTGAATTTATTATGCAGTTCCTTGGAACTTTTATCAACAAGATTAAATTGAAAATAGTTTTGAGAACAGTTTATCAGGTGAAAAAATTCAGTGTTAAGTTTGCAAGAAACTCATTCATGATAATGCATCTGTTTCTCTCTCTCTCTCTCTCTCTCTGTTTTTTTTAAAAAAGGAAACGTCCATTTTATCATCTGGAATTTTACCAGCCAGCCCAGGTAAGAGGCAATGAGATTTTTGCTAGGTGTTGACACCTGTTGATTTCAGTACTCAGGGAAATGAAATTACAAGTTAAGGTCCCAATCCACAAGACTGCAATATTTATTCTTGGATTTTAAAGAAGACAAAAGGAAAAACAAGTCTTAAGCTTAAGGAGAGCAAAGTATTAATAAATTCACTCTGTATCAAAAAGAATTTTAAGCTCAAGTGTGCCATCCCTCACACTGTGCTGATTTTACAGCTACCTATATTTACCTGGTCTTTGAGCCCTAATCCTCTTTCTTTGTGGGTTGGGCAAGTCTGTACATGCACACAAAACAAAACCCCCCTCAACGTCCCTCCCTTCTTTTCTTTTCTTTTCTTTCCTTCCCATCCCCACCCCTATAACTTTGCTTCATATCGGGTATATTTTCCTTACGAGTCATGTGTGCAAATAGATCCTGCTTCTCTACAGGCTCCGGCATTCATTTCAGTAGAGGAAACAGCATGGTACATGCAAACAACCTCCTCCATAGAAGCCAACTGACAAGTTTTTGTGGGTGTGGATCTCTGTGTGCCCACATTTCACACTAGTTGAAGGTTCTAGTTTGTCTTCAAAGTCAGCAAGGTCCAAGACAGAGAGCATTACAATAGTCAGACAGACATAGCAAAACCCCTCAACTTCCTTCAATAAGCATTCCTAGTTACTCTACCTCCAAAGATGAGGAAGTAACAGCCCTGACAGTTGCAGCCAAGCCAACCTCTGCCTCCTAGGCCAAATCAATCTCTCCAGAGTCCAAAGAGATCCAGCCAGAATCACCTTTGACTTCTCTGGCGTGTGCTTCTGCCGTACAGGACTTGGAAGTAAATATGAGGATTGAAATCCAATACACATCTGAAGGCATTAGCCTTCTTGACCCAAGCTGACCTATTTTTCCAGAAGTTACTTAAGAACCAAATCAATCAATTTTTTATTTCTTGGAAAAATAGGTTTCAAATAATCCTTTTGACTTTATGTTCATTTCTATCTGTAATCTGTTCTTACAAATTAATAATGATTATTATAACATAACAATGTGCATCTAGGTCAGTGTTTCCCAACCACTGTTCCGCGGCACACTAGTGTGCCGCGAGATGTTGCCTGGTGTGCCACGGGAAAAATTAAAAAATTCGAAAGATTATTATTATTTTTTAAAGTCAAATTTTCGATTGGGGCGCCGTCACTAGATGACCCCTGGGGTTCCCTCCCTCCCTCCCGCTCTGCGCCTCCCTCCTCCTCCTCCTCCGGGGAGGCCCTTCCTGGCTCTCGGCCAAGGCTTGGCGGCTGCCACTCACTCACTCGCTCGCCCATCCGTCCCTCCATCCCTGCACCCGGCCTCTCCCCCTCCGTCCCTGGCGCGGGGGCTGCTGGGATCCGTAGTCCCCTCACCCTTGGGCTCCGCGCCCGCACGGGGTGCGCAAACTACGTTTCCCAGCGTGGCCTGGCGGGCCAGGCGTTTTGTTTGAAGCGCTCTTCTCCCGGCCATGGAATGAGCGCAGCGGCGGCGGCCGGGCGGGCAGGGGCTCTTCCGCGCAGACCCCGCGCAGCCTGCCTGCGCCCCCGCGGAGATCGGGCGGCAGGATGGAGCCTGGGGATCCCCGCGGAGGCGGAGTGGCAGAGGCGGAGGCTGCCCCCCAGGTAGGGCTGCGTCGGGGTTTTTTAATTTTTGCAATGCTGCATCCGCGCCGGAGGGGATGCATCGGACCGTGGGGAGACCCCTTGGCGTGCGTGCAAGGCAATGCATGCGTGCAGGCGTTGCATGGAGTGCAGTGCAATGCAATGGCAACGCAGCGCCCTGCATGCATGCATGCAACTTCCACCGGCGCTCCGGACTTGGCAGGTGAGGGGGGTCCCCAGTGGGCGGCAGAGAGAGCCGGGAGGGCGAAGGGGAGCCGGGGGGAGCAGCGCTGCTCCCCGAGCCGAGCCCGGGGGGAAACTTCGGCGTCGTTGCGCCGGGTGTTGGAAGCGGAGGCTGGCGGGGGCCCCTCACCTGCAAAACCTGGTCGCCTCTCATATATTTCGTGCATTGCATTCATCGCCCGCTTTCTCCTCCAAGGAGCTCCCGGGGGCACGCGTGGTTCTCCCCGTGTTATCCTCGCAACAACAGCCCTGCGAGGTGGGTCAGGCGAGTGGCCCAAGGGAGCACCCAGGGATTGTCCTGGCCAGGTGGGGTGATTTGAACCCTGCTCTCTGCCCGGTTTTCGTCCTCATTTAGCCCCCACATGTGCATGACTGTGCATGACTGAGGTTTCCCCCTCGTCTTGGCTATGGTGTGAGTCTGTGCTGTTAATTAATGGGGTTCTGCCTTCGGAGAAGATGAGCCAGCCCTCAAGGAGGTGATTATGTAATTTGCTAGCAATTCATGTCCCTCCCGGCGTGACGCTGCACGCTGACGTCACGGGGCTGTAATGGTGGTGTGCCTCGAGATTTTTTTCATGAAACAAGTGTGCCTTTGCCCAAAAAAGGTTGGGAAACACTGATCTAGGTGCAAGGCCAATTAAAATAATTCCTGCTGGCATTATTTTACTTGGTTGGAGATTGCTGTTCCATTTCTGTTGTCACACAAGTGGGAATAGATATCTCATTTTGTTGTCCTTGGCTACTAGTCATGTGCAGTTGCTATATTGTGGTCAATTGTGTTATACTTTTAGTGTTAATGATATCTAATGGATATCAGAAAGGCTGCAATAGGAAATAGAAAAATGTTTTAACTGATTCCTTTCACCAGCTGAATTAGCTTTAGGAAGCATTTGCTGAATTTTTGTTCCAAAGCAAAGTCAATAGAATAATGACTTTATCTCTCAGTGACTGCAAAGGTGGGAGGAATAGTAGTAGGAAGAAGAAAGAGGGAATTGATTTATCTATTACTGCCATACTGCCATGAATATCTCTACAAAGCAATTTATTTTGAGCAACTGGGCACAATAGAACCATAAATGTAGCTAACGATTTTTAGTATTAAGTTGGAGATGTTTTTAAAACAGGTGGTGCTTCTATGATAGTGTTTTGGTCCCTGAAAGCAAACGAAGGACAAACTTTACAAGTAGATAGGCATAGTATATGGAGAGGTAATTTCCTCAAACAAACCTAGGTCAAAGAAGCAAGTAGTCAGTATTTTTTATGAGATAGATAGTTATGCTTTATTTTTCTATTCAGATAGGAAAGGTTGTGCGTGTGGAAAGTCACAGGCAGTAATCTTTGCATTTAAACTGCAAGTTGGAAGACCTTTTGTGAAGAACTTTATCACAGGAATGCTGGTTTTGGTAGGATCTCCATGGTCAAAGCAATGTTTGCTGTAGGTCTCGGTCCTTGGAGTTCCTGTGATGAATTAATTATGTTTGAATTATTTAAGAAAATGAAGTTTAATGAGGAGTAAGCTCCATGAAAGATAAGAAAATCCTGTTTACAGATGATCTTCTGGAGTTCATTTTTATGTCCATCTTATGTGGTACCGATCCTGAAGTGCAGATTGCACCATATGGGAAAGCAACTGTTCCCTTGTAGAAATTGTAAAAAGTACCATGACAAACTTTTCTCTCTGGTCTGATAGGTTTAACAGTTTTGATTTTCCAGGTGTCCCCTCACATAAAATTGAGGTGAACTAGTCCTTCTGTGGAGCTGTACAATTTCTAATCAGATGTGTCTGCTATTACTGTCATTCAGTTAGGCAGACTGTCTTAAAAGACTCTGGGAAGGTTGCAAGTATCACAGCACTCCCGAACCCCATGCACCATGAGCGATTAGCGCACGGTGCAAACTCTTCAAACGGTGGTAGTATTCATTCCCTTCAAAGTGTTCTTAGAAGCATGTAATACTTCCTAGATAATCTCCATATTTCTTGACTGAGCCACATTTTTTAATCCTTTGCAAGGAAACTTAAAGAATTGAGACATGTGCGTTATTATTACTGTCCATATTGTTGTTTAAAATTGGAATAATAATAATAATAATAATAATAATAATAATAATAATTTATTATTTATGCCCCGCCCATCTGGCTGGGCTTCCCCAGCCACTCTGGGCAGCTTCCAAAAAAATATTAATGTATAGATTTCTGTATGCTCTAGGTCCTAAAGGAAGCTATGAATTTATGATGCCACCTACAGAGTCTGGAGCACCACCTGATCCTGAAGAAGCTGGTGAGTAAACTGACTTGCAGCAGAGTACACAGACTGGTGGTGATTTCATATGAATAGGCAGACAGATCCAGTTCAATGGGTGGCGAGGGAACACTCCAAATGACACAAGGCATTGGACAAACCCTTAATGGGGGATATGCAGAAACTCAGTTCCAGCACCTCTCAGGTGTGTGCCGTTGCAATTATAAGAGAACAAGGGAGGTGCTCATGGTGAGTTCTGGCACCTCTTTTTCTAGAAAATAGCACTGGGGATATGATTAGGGCCCAAGCAAGCACTTGCTAGAGGAACAATGTGAGCTACTTCCTAAATGAAAAAGCCATGAACATATAGGAAGGGTTCCGTGGTGTATTACAAAGCATACCTCACCCCAAGAGAGTTTTGTTTTCCATAGAATACCCAACTTTAATCAGACCTTTGCCTTGCCTAGTCCTCTTTTCCTCACTTCTAAGCACATATATCAATATATTCTTTGTGGAGAATCTGTAGAAGTTCTTTTATTCGTAAGTTATTTCACTGCCCTTTACTGGGTAATTTCCTCCCAATGCAAATACAAGCTTCAGAGGAAGGAGTGTACCTCAGGACCATGACAGGGGAGGAAAGGGTTATATTCCCCACCCCCACCTGCTGCAATCCTGATCATTATCATTGCCCCCCCAATCCAGTTGATGCTATTTGCATTTTTTTAAACTTTGACTGTAAATGCAAAGATGTACTTTAACATCATGTCAAGTTTGATTCTCAGTACCTGCAGAGCAAGGGCACTTTCAAAATGCAGTCTTATCCTCTCATTGTAATACCACTGACAGCTGTATGCACTCTTGAGTGTGCATGGAACTCATGTATGCTTGGGTTGGCACATTAATTTTCAGCCATATCACAAAGGAGAATCCATTTCCTCTGTTGAAATGAACAGGAGAACTCCATGAGTGCATGAATTCAAAGATTTCCCTTCTTGTCTTACACCCAAGTTGATGTCTTTTTACTTCTTCAGGGGGCTTAAGTTAATGTATCTTTTAAAAGCATGTTCCCTCTCATGGCAGGGGCAGTTGGTTATTCAGCAGACCTACCGATGGCTGATCGATTGCATGGTGAAATGGCAACCTATGTTAATATTCCTACCAGCCCCACATCAAAGAAACAGCTTCATTACATGGAGCTGGAACTTCAGGAACCTAGTACAAGCATAAGAGGTAAATATCTTTGAAAGCAACTGAAGCATGTTTCTGCTGTTTTTGCATAACATTTTAGGCTGTTCCAGGGATCAAAAGGGGCTTTTGCAAAGCTACACTGTGGCATGGTCCCCTTTTACAGATGCACCAATCACCGCTGGTTATTGGGTACTTGTTAGCTCCAATGCAGTACTGCTACATGCTTTATTTTTTCTCTTTGATTTCAAGTAATATACAATCTCCAACTATTTATTTGCTGCTCTGTCGTGAATTTCTTCACCACTTTCGATGTGTGACAGGGGGGGTTAAGTCCTGCTGCAATATCCCAGTACTGTCAGGATACCTCTTTTCCAGCTCTGGAATAACTCTCTTTCGCAGAACCTCAATATATTGTGGCGAGCGCATCATTCCTTCTATAGGTTGCAGGCTTCCGACACCATAATGATCAACTGACTTTTCATGTTTGTTTTGAGTACAGGATTACGAGTCAGATAGAAAACATGATTTCTTTCAATTAATTTGCACAAGGGTGTAGAGCTGTCTGTCAGCAGTGGGTAGGTGCTCTGGGAAGCCATACTACCCTGGCACAAAGTATTTAGGGAGAATAGCACAGAACTTTTAAGAAGCTCACTGGAGAGCAGCAGAAGCGTTCCCCCTAAGGAGATGTTGGAGAAGTAATTAGACAAGTAGGAAGATAGCCATCACAGTCATCAAGGGAAATGAGGGGGTGATCAACTGTTGGCTTTCCTAAATTATCTGTTCATGGAGCATCCTGATTTGGTTGCACAAAACTTACACCCTGAGACCTGCGGGTATAGGGAGGTATACAAATTTAATTAATAATAATAGTAGTAGTAGCAGCAGCAGCAGCAGCAGCAGCAGTATAATATATGATACAATATCTTCTTTAAATTCATTATTTGCTTGTGCAGAAGTTATACATCTTCCCATCAGTCAACCATTATCCCACACTTTTTAATGCATTTCCCTGCTACTTTGCTATACGCAAAAAAATATTTTTTAAAAAGTGTATTTGTTGGGCCCAGAACAACACAGCACTTTAACTGAGCAAACCTACATTTCTGATATGCAGTGAAATCCCTCCTACAGAATAGTGACATTCTGGATGTGACCCATATCTAAGGGAGCAAAAATGTTGAGGAATCTGAGAACTGAGGACTGAGTGGAGGTCAAGAGATCTGATATGTTTGAATACCACTGGGAAGGGGCCAGAGGAGAGGAGTTTGATAGTGTGCTTTATTTTACTTTTCTGTTTAGTTTTTTTCCTGTTTGGTATGTTGTTTTCTATTATTATTTTTAGTTTAATTGGAATTTTATGGTATATATATTAGGTTGAAAACCTTTAATAAAATTAATTTAAAAATGATAATGTGGAAAAGAGCATGGTTGATGGCAGCTGGAAGCCAGGAAAACACAGGTTAGGTCAGGATTATAGGGTGGTCAGCTCATCACATGTGGCAGGGAAGAAGGAAGAAAGGTTGGAAGGAAGTAACTGAAGAGAGGAAGGAAAAAGCTCTGGTGGATTCAATTTTGGTATTTAAAAAGTGCATTCCTACAGTAGGGTACTGCAGCTGCATATCTTCAGAACCTTTTTCAACTCCTTCGCTAAGGAGGAAGCAGCGGTGCTGATGCTCATTAGGGCTGGCAGCGTGGAAGACAAAGAGACCAACAGAACCAATGGCTGGCAGTCCAAACCAGCTCCAGTTTTTTCTCCATCCCTACAGGGGCAATGCTGAGATTAAGGAGAAGGAAAGTGACAAGTAGTGCTACTTCCTGGACTGGTTGGTAGTGCAAAAGCAAACAGGCAGCAGCTGGTTGTGGGGCAGTGCCCCATAGACCCTAGCAAACTAGTGTCCAGCGGGACAAGATGCTCTCCGTCTTCCCATTGGGTACAGAGCAGCCCCTCTGGGTCTGCTTCGTGAGAAGGACAAGCATCTTTCCAGCAGGAAAATGATGTGGAAGGAAAGATGGTCCTGAGCAGGAGCACTACTAATGGGGAAGTTGTGGGATGTGAAACACAGAGCAGTCAAGTACAACATCCCTAGAATGGACATAAAAAGGGGATGTCTGGACCAGCCAGTCGGAATTTTCTGTTTCCTCCTAGGCTGGGACAGACTTCCTCTACATGTGACCAGAAGTGGGCGTGGCCTCACCTGTGCAGGAACAAAAGCATAGGGCTGGCCGCTATCTCTCTCTCTCTGACTACATTTGTCAAAGAAGCAACATCTGCTTTTAGCCTAAGATGCTCTCTTGGCTTCCAGCCAAGAGAGGACAAAGGGACTATCTCTTTATGGGATAGATTCCAGGTATATTACTTTTGTAACTTAAGTCTGCCTTCTGGGATCCATCTGTGAACAGAATGTGAGTGAGTAAACTCTTTTTATACTTTTATAGAAGACTGTAATGTGTCTATTTCTTTTATGAGGGACTAAAGGGGAAATTACCAGGTAACTTATTTTAGAGGCTTTAGCGAGCCAGAGCAAACGCATCCACTGTGCAAGTTTAAAAAGGGGAATGTTACTCTGCTAAATTGTATAACTTGTTAACACAAGTTGGAAAGGATATAATCAAGCAATATATCCTCTCCTGCATCCCTGAACATTCCCACAGAAGTGCTGATAGCACTGCAACATTATGTTGTAGGTTCCACTTGTTTGTTTGGATTCTGAGCTACAAGAGCTTAACTGTTTCTTGATGCTATGTTTTCCAGTAACAAAGATTATAGCTTTTAAGTTCTGGTGTGGGTATTATTATTTGTGCTGTGTGTGACATCAAACTGAGTATTATTGTATTCTTACCTAATTATCTTAGGTGAAAGTACATGAAGATGTTATAACCATGGCAATGTTTTTCTGCCATAGGGAGTGGATCAACTAAATATGCCCAGATTGACATTACAGCGACAGAGACTGCTCATAAAGTAGGGACACAACATGCTCAGTTCAGAGAAGAGCGTCTGCAAGAGCTGGAACAGAAGAAGAAAGGCTCTTCATAGCTGCCCCTAACATAGTACTTGTAAATGTTTCATGAGTTTATTAATTTAACTAAACGCTGCCATCGTTTTCAGATTTGTACCAGATTCATTCCAATCTATTCATTTCCAATTGGAAAACTGGTAGCATGGGGTGTGTGGGTTTGTGTGTAAAAACATTGGTTGTACACATGTATGACAGATCACTTACGTTGTAATTTTTTTACTATCTTAACAAATCAGGTATCAAATACAAATGATTTTCAAACTGTGGCATTTAATTTAAAGACATTTGAATGTGTTGTGTGTTAACAAGGATGTACATGTAGCTAAGTATACATTAAATATTGGTCTATACAGCATGCGTATTGACAAGAATGCTGTGTTTTGTTAAGAGTTAAGGTAGCTTTTCATGCTATTTTTCAAAAGTCAAAGACAGATTTCTCATAAGAATCACTGTTGGAGAACAGATACAGCTTTAAATTTCCAGCCTCTATATATTTCTGGTTTTTGGCAACTCTTGAGTTGTATAGGAAATGTAATTATTAATTATAATGAAGAAATAAGATATTACCAAACAGTTTCTCTTTAATAGTTGCAGCAGCAACACTATTGCCAGTGCAGGCAAAGCCTAATTGCATGGCAAGTGAAGCTTTGCTCCACTTCCCAGGAAAAGATACACAGGAAAATAGGCTCACACACCTACTTGCTACTTGCCTGACCAAAGGCAGCTGCCACTCTACTGTCCCACTTTGTCCTGGCAGCATCGTAAGGGACAACAGCAAGCCCACATTCTGGCCTTTGAGCTGGTGCCTCAGTGCTGTAGCACACTAGCTCAGTTCTTAAACAAAATCATAACGGTAAGGCAATGCTGAAAAGCAAAGCAACAGCCAATCGCACCTTGAATAAACCAAGTTGCAGTCCGTAATTCACAGTAGAAATTGCAGAATTAAGGCACACCAGCTACGCTGAACATTATGGGTAGTCTTCAGTGGCAGCCATGTGCTGATGGAAGGAGTCTGTCAGAGGAATGGACCAGGGGTGGGACCAGTGGCAGATCTCCAAAAATGCCACCTTGGACTCCTTTGGGAGATAAATAATTTGATAAATAAAAATTGCCTCCCTCCCCATTCTGCTGGTGGATTCCTATCATCTGTGGATACACCACCTTTCTTCTTTGTTGGCTTGTTTAATTGGACTTTTGAAAAATAACATTTATGGCAACCTCATCTCTTGATAAAATAGGTATGCTGTCAATGACTTCCTCTGGGGTTTTTGGGGTTTTTTTACAAGTTAACTTTTCTACTAAAGCAACACCCTGACTTTTTTTTTTTTAATTAGATTTAACTAATAAAACTGGTATCTCTGCCATCTTCCCCTCTGTCAAATCCAATTTATTATTTACTCTACTGAAACAGGTTAATATATTATTCCTGTCCACATTTCATGATTGTGCCACTTTCTTTGTTTATCTCACTTTGTTTATTTCATGTAGTTTAGAGTTTGGTTCAACATCCTAAGAAACTGTCACATGATTTTATAGAATATTGTAAGGGATAGTTTATGCAGAATCCATGGCCCCTTTTGAAAATAGAGATTTGCATTTTGATTTCCCAAGTTTGCCTCAAAAGGTGGCTGAAACAAAAACTCGATCACAGGGGTGCTTGATCATGACCTTTGGGTCAACAGTGTGGCTTCCCGTGTTGTTTCTAGAAGCTGCTTATGCGCAAATCCATCTTCACCTAGATGGACATTTCTTGCCTTCAGTTTCTGTGGGCCCAAATGAAGTAAGTGTGTCTATCCTTTGTTTTCATTTCATTTCATTTCAGTGTTTTAATTTGTCCCATTTTCTGATTGAGATCATGTCTTACGTGTATTTTCCCACTTAATACAACTTTTCCACTGAATACTTAAAATATGGAGGTGCTCTCAAGCAAAGAAGTTGCTATTTTAGGAAAAGTGGCACTAATACTACTGACACAATTCAGATATTAGTGCATTGCACTCTGGGCTTTAGCAACTATAACAGTATTCCATAAACAGTATATTTATTTACTCTTGCAAATAAGTAGTCAAAAGAATATTTACCCGAATTCATAACATTTATTGCAAATATAGCTGCAGATACTTAGAGAACAGTGTTCTATCTATTGGAAAGTCAGTAATGTCACTGTACTTTGTATTGAAGGATTGGTCCAACTGAGCCTTTAATTCTATAAATGTTTTTATATTCAACTGTAGTCTAATACAATTTACTATTTATAATTTACTGCTGTGTCTTTTTGTATCAAACTGCTATTATTCAAAGTTGTTGCTGGCAATGCAGGGGTTTAAAAGAGAAAGGTAAACAATCTCATAATATTCAAATAATACCCCCTTCTAAGTATAAGAATTGTCCACTTGAGCACTTACCACTATTTTTTGCTTCCAATTGTGCCTGTCAGGTGAGCACTCCCATGATAGCTACCAAATAGGCAGAATGAGCTCAGCTTCATTTCACACAGCATACTGTCATGTGAAAGAACCAGAATTCTGTGATACCACTCAAATTCACATTTGATGGAATCCTTTTTATGACCAGCTTTTGCCTCCATACTACCATACAAAAATTCAAAAACAAGAAGCAGTTTCTCCTTCCAGCAAACAGCAGCAACTCTGCTGATGGGAAGTTATAACAATTATACAAAAATATAAAATGATTTTTCCATCAGTGCCTTTGAAATTGAAAACTGGAGTTCTTTCAGAAATACAGTTCTCCGCATGGGTGTTCAGCAGGGTAGGGACACCTACACCTCAATAAAAAACAATGTTCTCCAGATAACCAGCTTTCATTTTTAAACAGGTATGTTTCTAGGCTTTATTTGTAAAGCCTGAGATATGAAGCAAAATGTACAGGCACTTTTCTTTTCATGTTGTGTGTGGAAAAACTGGCCTGCTCCATTCAGTGTTTTATATTTCAGTCACCCAGAAAAATTCATGGCTCAAACCTATGGCTCTCCGTTTATTTCTATTTCACAATACTTTGACCTTTTCCGTAAATGCATTTTCATTTTCCCTTCCCCATTCTACCATTAAACCAAGTACTGTATACCTTAGATGGTATCTTGTAAGTACACTTAACAATTTTTCAAACCAAGTTCCAGTGTACAGTGGTACCTCTAGTTGCGTTCCGCTCTTGTTATGGACTTTCAACTTATGAACGCGGCAAACCTGGAAGTGTTTACTTTGGGTTCGCCATGCGCACATGCACAGAAGTGATCTGCGCACCTCGCGCATGTGCAGAAGCGCTCGATCGCACATGCGCGGAAGAGGCACTCTAGTTGCAGACTTTTCGGGGTGCGAACAGCACCCCGAAACAGATTAAGTCTGCAGCTAGAGGTACCACTGTATTCCAACATTGCTCACTAAGGATGAACTCCAATAATTTACCTGGGAGTAAGTTCCATTTAACTCAATGGGACTTTCTTCTGATAAGACATGCATGGAGTTGCACTATAAATAACTAAATATATGCTATAATAAACATTTTCAAACAAAAAATTGTCCTCAATTTTTATTCATATCTATACATAGTAGAAAGTATTCTATTCTATTTTAAGAACACAATTGACAGGTTTAAACATATACTGTAATCTTGAACTGGATCAAATCTAAAATTTTGAACCTAATCATTAAACTAGGAGGATGCATATGAGACAATAACAGTACTTAAGCTGGATCATTTTCCAACGTGTATAAAAGAAATGAATTACAGGATTAGCCAAGACATTTACTTGCCATTGTTTTTTACTGAACCATATGAATGTCTATAAAAGGAATCTCTAAGGGTATTATCCAAATAGTTTCTTCTCTCAGTGCAAGGATTTATACTTGTGCAATGGAACTCACCCTGCTTAAGCCCCATGTACCCTGCGCCCTCCCCAGATCTGATCCAGAGGGTTGGGAGATCACAACAGATTTAGGGAGCCTTTGCTTGTTTTGATATAGAATCTTGCATGCAAGTCCAGATCTTTTAATCCTGTTAATGTATACCTTTATCATTTTCTCCTTTATTTGGGTATATTTATTCATAATGTAAAAACACAAACAATTTAGAATTACATTCAATTCTTGCTGTTCTCGGTTGCAATCTCTTTGATTCACAAATAATTCAAAGAAAATTCTTTAACGTCTACTGCTAAGTAATATATAGAAATAATTAACTTTCTTCTTCCAAGGGTTTTTACTAAAAGCTATAACTTTAAAGACTGTGGTATTATGATTATTCCCAAAATGTCCTACTTTAATTTATTTAACTACTGGAAATCTAGCTATACTTTTTTAAAAAGCACTGGATCTGATAGCATTAACACCCTATCACCAACATTTAATGTTAATTTTCTTTATTTCTAAGAGGCATCCCTTTAATTAGTTCTTACTGCTATTGCTCAGATTTTAGTACTCTAAATAAAAAATATTGGCAAAAGGGAACAAATCTGTCATGTTCTTCTTTCCAATAATGCTGTTTCTGACCATCTATTACTTGGAGTAATCCTAGGAATGGGTCTATCATAAATACTTGAAAACTAATTCACAAACTTGAGTTCTCAAAATAAATGTAGTTAATACTGCTTTTTAACAAAGGCTTCTCTACAATATCAAATGCTTTTTGAGCATCCAACATGGTAATTCAGTTTTTTTGCCTTGTTATTAAACTGAAACTAGTAATAGATAATGCCCTTAAATATGTTTCAATATGCTATTTGATGGAAGGTGACATGAAGGCACTGTATTGTAATTCTGAGTTAATTATTTCATAGTCGCTTCTGCTTTGCACATAATTTCCCCATGATAAGGCTAAATTGATCTTATACATAATTTTCATTTTTGTTTCATAATTTAAGTATCTTTCAAAATTGAAGTATCAAAAGCTAGTATCTGATCTGATGTCATTTCTTAAAATTATTTTTGTCTTTTTCTAACATCTATTTGGTTTTGTTTATACTTGTTGTAATGATTGATAAACTGGATAACCCTTTTCAGCAATAAAAGGGATGACTAAAATAAAGGCAAATCTCTGGGGCGTATTGCATGGTACAGACATATCTTCCATGGAAGGTAAAATAGCACTGATGTACTCTCTGTTCTGTTTTTTTATTATTTAAAAAACCTATGGGGTGCCTAGCACTATGGATGGCAGAGGTTATAAATATTTACTTGAGAAATACATATGTACATGGATACAAATGCACAGAAATTCATAGACATACATGCACAAACACACTTTTGGTCTAAGGTAACTTCCTGTATATCTTCCAGACCTATGATAGGTGTGCTTACTTGCATGAACATGAACTCAACCACATCTACACACAGACGCATCCCACAAATATCTCTAAATTGTTTTAGCAATTATTGCTGTGGTCACAGCACACTTCACTAGCTCTCTTGGGGTATTCTTGCCTCCATGTTGGTCCACAGAGGAGCCGTGGCACACTGGCAAGCACTGCCCCCTAGAGTGCAGAGCTACTCAAACCCAGACCATGCTAAAGGAATGGAAGAGGGGATTCTAGTTCTCCCCTCATCCCTAGGAGACATACAAGAGACTGAGATAGCGGGGTGGGGGTGAGGTGGCCTATGTGCCAAGGACATGGGCTGGGACAAGGCTGAGTAGGCTTGACAGAATGGCAGGAGGAAAGATACAAAGGTAGGAGTGGGAGAAGCAAACAAAAGAATGACTTGGTGCCATCTGCAGATTTCAGATAGATGCTCCTACTTTCCTCCCTAAGGTGACTAATGAAAATAGTTCAAAAATAGAACTAACAATTGTTCTCTCAGAGATCATCCGCTTCTTTCTTATCTCTGACTTAATAGTATGCCTTTTAGCACTAGCTTCACACTTTAACCAGTTACTCATGCTGCAGGCCCTGAACTGAAATCTGCTTTTTTTCATTTCTCATTTGGCATGTCATGAACACTTCACTGACACAACTGAAATTTAATGACTCTCTACCTCTTGTATTCCTCATATGCTGTATCTTTGACTTGCCAGAATATTTATCTGCATAACTCTTAAAGAATAAAACTGGTGGGGTTTTTTTTGGGGGGGGGTTGCATATGTGAAAACAACTAGTGACGGTGCTGAAGTTTGGAACTGGGGAGTGCAAAAAGCAAGAACTCCCCCAGTTCAAAAAACAAAACCCAAGTTCAATCTTAATCTAATGAATGGGCCTTGCTTGGATTCAGACTGGCACAAGCCTTTCCCTTCCCGTTCCAGTCCAAATTTACAAGGTGGCTGCCTTAATATATTGCATAAAAGATCCATGGGAAAGCTAATTCCCATTGGTTCTGATGTCCAAGCTAGCACAATCTTCAAGACCCATGGGAACTACATTTCCCATGTTTTCTTACACCTGGGATGCTTCTGGGCATCACTTGGACAGTATCACAAGTGTGGTACCAGGAGATGATTTAGTTCCTAATGATCCCTCTAAGATGTCAATCTATGAGAACTACAGTGGTACCTCGGGTTAAGAACTTAATTCGTTCTGGAGGTCCGTTCCCAACCTGAAACTGTTCTTAACCTGAAGCACCACTTTAGCTAATGGGGCCTCCTGCTGCCGCTGCGCCCCTGGAGCCCGATTTCTGTTCTCAACCTGAAGCAAAGTTCTTAACCCGAGGTACTATTTCTAGGTTAGTGGAGTCTGTAACCTGAAGCGTATGTAACCCAAGTTACCACTGTATATTTATTCAAGATTCTGCCAACAGGCTGAAGGTCTGTTGAAGATGCTGCTCCCAGATAAATTATGGGGAAGGAAAAGGAGCTGGGGTGAGGCTTTAAGGCCTCATTACATCCACAGTAATATAATCAGGTGTGTGCTGAAGCTATCACTCTAGATGGGACTTAGCGGATATTAACTTATTTTGGGCCCATGTTGAATCAAGCCGAGATTAACCTATTTGAAGCAAGCCCATTCCTGGCGAAGATCACCATCCATTTCTAATTATGTCACATTTCATCCTGCTGCAGATGTCTGAAAATAATGGACAAAAGTAAGAGGAACTGAAGCATCCCCTCCAAGTCTCCTGGTTTTTCCAGGGGCAGTCCCAGAATTATGAAGGCCATTCCGGCTTCTGGTTTGATCCTGGAGTGTCCCTATTTCTGTCGCCAGTGCTGAGCTTGGGGAGGAAGATGAACCAGCGCTTGTCCCAAGCAGTGGTGACTGCAGTGGTGAGGGAGCATCCTGCTGGCCTCCTTCCGTCAACTCATAGCAGCTGCTGGAGAGCTGG